AAGCCAGCTCAGAGAGGAAAGTCCAAGAGACGCTTATCTCCAATAAACCACTAGAAAACCGGAAGTGGCACTGTGGCTCAAGTGGTAGAACGCTTGCCTTGAGATGAAGACTGCAGGAACAGCACCCAAGCCCAGAGTTCAAGCCCATCGACCGACCAAAAAAAAAAAAGAGAGAGAGATGAAATATATGGAAACAACAATAACAGAATATTCCCAATTTATAAAAACTAGTTCCTAGGATACTTATATACAGTACTAAAAGTGTAATTTCCCACCTTTGCATTTATCTTCAAGCTGACAATTAGCTCTCTACTTAAAACTGAAATTCTTTTTCCCTCCCTTCAGAGTTCTCTTCAAATGAGCATCACACAATTTAATTCACTAAAACAAAGACAAAGGAAAAGCCATTGCTAGGTGTTGTTTCTAACATGCTTTGTCCACTTGGCTACTACAAGCATAGCTCAAGTCTATGTTGTCAATGGTAGGAAACTGAAGGGAAATATTTGGGAGAGCAAAGTTGTTTATCTTCTTAGCTGGGAAGGAACCAAATAGGCACTGCTCACCTCCAAGAGACCAGTCCCCACACCTGCACTGCATTGGGTCTCTTTGCTGTCTTAGAGTGGTGGGTCAATATGAACCTCCCCCTTCTGCCCCAACAAACACATCCAGACCTTCCACGTGGCCTCTTACAGCCCATTGGGGCAGACATCATCACATTATACTTACTGGATTCTTCCCAATACAAAAATTATTTGGTGCAACTAAGATGCCTCCTTCCGTGCCCCTTAAGTCTTTCCATATTGCTGCACCCAGCATACAATTTGCATAGTGCTCCCTAGGGAGGAGCCTCCTTGCTAAGGCTAAGATAAAAGCTCAGCTCTCACCCTATGTTGACTGATCAGGACTCCTCCTTTCAGTTTCTCAAAATGAGATGCCCTGCTCAGCTCCTGGGGCTGCTGATGCTCTGGATCCCTGGTAAGGACACAGAGAGATGAAGGAGAGTAGGAAGGAGATGGGGTGTTCAGATGGGGTTTGGTGCACCACTGCTGCTGTTGTGTGTTCTGTCCACATGTGAGGTGTGTGGTTCTTATACTTCAGAATGGCAGCTGTTTAGAGCTGTTTAGAGCTCTGAGGGGGAGGAAGAATCCAGGGCATCAGGATCTAGATTCTGTTAAAATTGTTCTATAGGGTGAAAAGGTAAGGACGACACCCTCTGGGTACATATCTTGAAACTGAATATTTATATTTCAAATCAAAATGCAAATAATAATTCAGTACAATGGAGGAAAATTATGGAACCAGCTAAAAATTTTTATGCAACTCCGCACTTAACTTTCATGTTTCTAGGATCCAGTGCAGACATCATGATGACACAGACTCCACCCTCCCTGATAGTTGCCCCTGAAGAGCCAGCCTCTATCTCCTGCAAGTCCAGTGAGAGTCTCCTGGGTAGCAATGGAAAAACATACTTGCACTGGTACCTGCAGAAGCCAGGCCAGTCTCCACAACTCCTGATCTATAGGGTTTCCAACCGATTTACTGGGGTCCCAGACAGGTTCAGTGGCAGTGGGTCAGGCACAGATTTCACACTGACAATCAGCAAGGTGAAGCCTGAGGATGCAGGGGTTTATTACTGCCAGCAGGGTAGAAAATACCCTAGCACTGTGCTACAGCCCAGAGCAAAAACCTCCCTGCATGGGGCAGCCCAGCTGTGCCCATGTGCTGCTTGCCTGGGGACCAGCAGAGCAGATTCTCTGAATCTGTGTACAAGACAAGGTTGGGGAACTCAGAGTCACAAACTGCAGCTGAGGTCTCTGTCCCATGGGGGCCTTGGCTACACTCTACCAAACCCCACTGGATCAGCTGCAACAGACTCCACATAGTATTTGTCACAGAAAAGTACAGATGTCCTACGTCACTTCTGGGTAAATATAAAACACTAAATTAAGGAAGTTTACAGAAAGATTGAAGACTTGGTTTTTTTTTTTTTTTTTTTCAGAATTTCCCACAGACTTAGGAAGGTGCTATCATTGATATCTAGAAAGAATTTTGTGCCTTGCCAATTTGTCTGTTCCTTTTCACATTGAGATTTAAACTAAATCACAAACATAAAATATGACTTACTGGGTAAAAGTAATAAAAGGAAAAATAATGAAAATGGCTTATAATGATTGCACTTAGTCTTTCAGTTCTCCTTATTCCAGGATCCAGAGGGGATCATGTGATGCTGCAGACTCTGCTCTTCTGATCCATCTCCCCTACAGAGCTGGCCTGTACCTCAAAAGAATCACAGAGGGCCTCCCATAGTGGCTCATACCTGTAGTCCCTGCTACTCAGGAGGCTGAGATTGAGATTACAGTTAAATCCCTACACAGGGAAAACCCTCCGGTTTAGCAATGAAGCTGGTATGAAGGCACACAGCTGCAGTTCCAGCTATGCAGGAGGCTGTAGGTAAGACGATCTTTGCCATTTCTGAGCAAAAATCAAAGACTTTACCTAAAATATAACTAAAACAAAAAGGGAGTAGGGGTGGCATGGCTCAAGTGGTATAGTGTCTGCAAGGAGGGAGGCCTTTGTTCAAACCTGTCAAAGCAGGGAATAAACAACAGAAGTGAAGTCATCTCTTCTGGGTGGCACTGGACATCACTGCACATTGCATGGGATATGGTTGCCAATATGAATGCTTCTCAATCTTCACTGACTCAATGATTGCTAAAGACGCTAGGCAGAGTCAGCAAGTCTATTCACATGTCACCAATTGATCATGAGTGCTTAAGCAAGCTGGCCACAGGACCCTCGTTATGTACTGTGTATGGAGTGGGAGAGAAGGGTATAGAAGACAAACCTTAGACCCCTGATGTTGAGGAGTACCACAGAAGACAGCTCCCACTCTGAGAAGGTCAGCAGGAAACACAACATAGTGCCAGAAATGAATCCAAGTCTTAGGACCAGGCACAGAAAATGGCATCAGTACCTTGTCACAGGGAAAGCACCTAAAAGAATAAAGAGAAGGAAGGAAGTACTATTTGCAAAACAAAGTAAAACAAAATCACAGTATCGACTATTATATAAAAGAAAGAATAAGGAGAGCTGTGCTGATCAAAAGATTACATTTCCTCATCTAGAAAGGCAGGTATTAAGACATGCACATTGGAATGTATAAATTAGTAGGTATAGGTAAACTAAAACTGGCTGCACAGACAAACATGGAGAATATCTTATAGGATTTAAGATGTGTATGTGGCCAAGTGGGGTTACTTGGGCCTCTAATCCTAGTCTTTGGAGATAGAGATCAGCAGAATCCTAGGCAAGAGTTCTTGCTGGAGCTCTTGGTGGTGGGTATCTGAATAACTGAGTAGCCATGGCCCCATGAGACAGAGACCTCAACTACAACTTGATGTCTGAGATCTCCAACCTTGCTGTTGCTCATAGGCTCAGAGCATCTGCCCTGTTGGTCCCCAGACAAGCCACACATTGGGACAGCTGGGCCAGTCCACTCAGGGAGGGTTTTGCTATGGGCTGTACTACACAGGAAACATATTGTGGACCTTGGAAGCAAAGTAAATTCCAGCATCCTCAGCAGGGTGGACACTGCTGATTTCCAGAGTGAAATCTGTTCCTGACCAGTGTGGGACTCAAGAGTCCTTTGGGAAGTTATAAATCATTTGCCATGGAGCCTGGCCTGACCTCACATGAAATTGAGTCATTTGCAGATAAGTGGGTAGATCTGGGGCCTTCATGGTAAGCAAAGCAAGCCATATTCAGAAGGACAGTCACATGCTTACTGTCATGTGTGCTTGCTAAACCTAAAAGTTAACTATGCATGTAAACACACAAAGGAATATGGGACATACATGACATGTTTGTAATATATGAACATATATACTAAACATATGTGTAAGTGTGGGACTGTTGGCGAGGATTGAAGGAAGAAAAGAGTAACTTAAAGGTGAACAGTATCTAAACCCATTTCAGCTTGGAAAACAGTGTGCAGGAAAGGAGATCCAACTAGGAATATGGACTTCTGTGTTTGAGATTTTGAAGAAAGGGATTAGGGGCCTAATAGTGGAACAGAAATTAAAAAATTCAGAAAATAATTGGGTTTAATATTGGAAAATGAAAGAGACCAGAAAAGTAAGTAATAGGATCAAAATAGAAGCATCCAGAATTAAAGAGGGTCAGGGGGACAAGAGGAATTGATCTATCCAGACACACTAAAGACACCAACACCAGTAATTTGACCTATAATCCTAGCTACCCCAAAGGAAGAGATCTGAACATTGCAGTTCAAACCCAGCCAGCCTGGGCAAGAAATTCCATGAGACTCTTATCTTCAATTAACCACCAAAATAACAAAAGTGGGGGTATGACTTGAGGGGAAAACACCATCTTTGAGGTAAAAATGAAAAAGCTCAAGAATACTGCGCAGGCCTGTATTGAAGTTCTAGGAACAACACACACAAAAAGAAAGAAATGAAAGAAAGGAAAAAAAGAAGGAAGGAATGAAGAAAGGAAGGAAGGAAGGACAGAGGGAGGGAGGGAAGGAGGAAGGGAGGAAGGGAGAAAGAGACGGAGGGAGGGAGGGAGAGAGGGAGTAAGGTGAGTGAGGAGGGAGCAACCTAGGGAGCGAGGGAGAAGAAAAGAAATGGTACTACAGTCAATTGTAAAGAGAAACTTTATTCAATCAGCCATATGATCAGTACAAACATTCAGGTACCTGTAACACAAAAACTCCTAACAGTGTCTCTCAAACAATCTTACCATATTTTTCTACAATTACCTCCCACAAACAGAAATCCAGTAAGGCCAATTCCCTGAATGATTCCTGGTCCTTGCAAACCCTACCAGCGTGAATTGTTGAAATGCAACCTCTCAGGTAGACAGGAAGGATGCTAGTTCAGGATTGTGTTGGAAGGAAGCTGTTCACACAGCAAGGACTACTGACCCATGGCTGGGGAGGTTTTTGATTGAGACTGAAGCCCTGTGGGAGGGTAGTTATACTACTGTTGACAGTAATAATCTGGCACATCATCAGTCTCCATGTTGCTGACAGTGAGAGTGTAGTCTGCCCCAGACCCACTGCCAATGAATCGCTCAGGGATACCAGATGGCCAAATGGATGCACCATAAATGAGCTGTTCAGGAGCCTGCCCTACATTCTGCTGGTACCAGACTATGTGGTTGTTCACATTCTGACTGGACTTGCAGTTCATAGTGGCCCTTTCTCCTACTGACACAGCCAGAGAGTATGGAGACTGTGTCATTATGATGTCCCCCACAGACACCTGCAATCACAAATGGACCATGGTCATTCATACATGCACGCACAGGCAAAGCTCATCAGATATACATTGAAACACCACTAAAATGCACCTTCTAATTGTATTAAAAGTCAGTATGCTATTGTTTCCATACTGGAGATTGCCAGTTCTTATTACATTTTTTTCATTTAGTATTATAATTATGAAGGTGACTACAGGGAGGGTTACAGTTACATAAATCAGATAACAGGTACATTTCTCTCTGGACAATGTCACCCCGTCCCTCACTCTTTCCCAGTTTTTTCCTCTCATCCCCACCCACAAGTTGAATAGTCCCACATATTATCTCATGAGTATCACTGCTGCATTTGTTTACATTTTGTCCCTCCGTTTCTGTGTCCCTCTTTACCCTCCCAAAGACAGATAAACAAACAAGAAAAAAGAACAGAAACAAGAACAAAGAAAAACTTCTTGCTCTCATTCAAGACATTTTTCGGTTCTACAAAAGGTACTAAATACATCACAGCAGGTAAGTTTCTCACCAGGCACCCAGAGAAGCAGGGGGATGAGGACATGGCTTCTCAAGCTCATCTTCTTGCTCCTGCCTGCCGAATGCAGCTCTCTGCTATGGCAAAGTCTCACGTATAAAACCTGCACAGTTGGAACAATCCTCCAGGGACCTATGCAATCCTAATTACTAAATTCCTCAGATTATAAATTTAAAAAAAAATCATGCTGGAAAAAAATAAAAGGAAGGAAGTAGGGTGGGAGTAGGGACGAAAGTAAAGAAGGAAAAAAGGAGAGAGGAGAAGAAAGAAAGAAGGGAGAAAGGGCAAAAGAGAAAGCGAGAAAGAAAGAAAAAAGAAAGAGAGAGAGAAAGAAAGAAACAAAGAAAGAAAGAAAGAAAGGAAGGAAGGAAGGAAGGAAGGAAGGAAGGAAGGAAGGATAATTAGAAGCACCTGAGGGGCTCTTGTTTGGTAGATGTCACAAATACAACATTATTGTACTCTGACTGGATCCTGAAGAAAATTTGGGGCAGACCCCATTCCTAGACCCCATTCCTGTGGTCAATTTCTTGTCCAGAATGCTGCAAGAGCAAAATGAATTGGTGTTAAGCTATGACATTTGAGGAAATGATATGATTTACCAGAACCTCAAACATGAATGCACAAGACAAAACTTGAGTGCAAGGAGTGAAAAGTGCCTGAGTGTTTTCCATTTCCCATGATATCCCTGTCTTGTCAGTGACAATGAGATATGTTAAAATTCCCACTGAATAATGAAAATATAAATTTAATACACTTGGAAAATCACTTCAGGGTTGAACGTCATTTCCCCATTTGTTTGCAGTCTCCCAACACCCTCTTGCATGCAACCAGCCAACTGGAACTTCCAAAACCATGAGAAAATAGACCTTTTTAACTCTTCACAAATGGTGTTAGTCACTGTAACACAAATCCATCAATCATGAGAACTAACAAGTATAACTATACTTCTCTGTTTCTCTCTCTGTTTCTGTTTATTTATTTTATCATCTTGAAGGTGTTGTATAGGGAGTTCCAATTTAACATATCAGCTTAACAGTGCATTTTGATCAATGTCTCCTATTTCATCATTTTTCCCCATCTCTCTCCACTCATGCACTCCATTTACCTAGTTCCATTTCTGTTCTTTTTTCCATTATATTTCTAGCAAATTTGTATTTACGCCTGCTGCTTTCTGTGACTTGTGACAAGATCCCTGACTCACACATTTTCCACATGCAAGGAAATACAATTTGGTGATCAAAATACTCCTGAAAATGTTGGATAAAAAATGTACTCATTACAGGTGGACCCATTGCAACAATGAGATGTACAAGTTGTTATGTCGAAAAATGAAACACTTGGAAAAAATTATATTAAGTGAAGTAAGTCAGGCCTAAAGAAACATAGGTCCCATGGTTTCCCTTATTTGTAATATCTAGTATATGTCTGAGTCAAGCAGAAAAGGTCAGATAAGGTGATGTTAGGGAAATGAACCCTAAGGTATGTATTCAAATGTTTTTTTTTCTTTCATGCAATTGTTTCTAACACATTTATAATATTTCTTTATTGCTTTAGATGTCCCTCCCTCACAGTATAACCCCTGCTTTCACTGTATTTCATATCGCTATCGCTATAATTTGTGGAGAGGAAGGGGAAAAACAAAATCAAATAGAGATACAGGTGGACCCATTGCAACAATGAGATGTACAAGTCGTTAAGGGGCGGGGGTCGGATTGGGGGAGGCGAGGGGGGGAGAATAGGAAGGGATGGGAAGGGGAAACAAAGGAGGAGGCTACAATGCTTGATAAGAAATGTACTCATTATCTTGCCCATGTAACTGTAACCCCTCTGTACAGTATTTTCACAATAAAAACAGAAATGTACTCATTATCTTGTTCATATAACTGTAATTAAAATTAAAAAGGAAAAGAAAGATATTCCTGAATCTACTAACATAACTACCATGGTAAGGAGACAGGAATCTTTTCAGAGATTTAACTCATAGGAGTGAATGAAAATCCACCAATTAATATATGGATAATTCTTCATGATGACTCTCCAGCATATTGAGTTTATGCTCCGCTTGGTCCTTTGACTTCCACATGCAAAAGAAAATCAACTAGTTCAAGAGTAACACAGAGTAGTCATTAACTCAACCCCACCCTCATGACATGTGGAAACTTCAGTAGGAAAACAAGTTCCTTAATTCTGGAAATCATGAAGTACCATGACTACCTCTAAAATGCAAGGTAGGAAGACAAGGAGTGAAGATTTCATCACAGGGACACCATATAATTATCAAATAATTTGGGGACTGTGAAAAAGTTTCGTGTTTGTGTGGGGGGGTGTGTCCCATTTGAATATACACACACACACACACACACACACACACACACACACACGCACACACACACGTCCCATATTTACTTCCCTTGAAAAGCATAGCCACATTAAAATACATCTGCCTACTCAGGCTTTTAACCCGTGGAGACTGTGCTGAAAGATAGAGCTCATCATGCTTTGAAAGTAGAACAAATACAATTATTTACTGGCATATTAGAGATGAAGTGCCAGAAGAAAAAAATCAAAGATGACCACTGCATGTGTTTGAACTTGGAAAACACAGAATTTAGAATGATGTTTACTGGGAAAGGGAAGCCAACAGAAAGAAAATTTGGAAGACAGCTGAATCTGGACTTTAATTAGATTTTTGAGACCTCCAACTGAAAATGTACCTTAAGTGTCAGTGAATGTGCAATTCTGAAATTCAAGGAACCAGTCTGACTGGAGTACAAAACTGGGACACAGAGCAATCATTAGACAATATTGTATATAAATGAAAGCAGGCTGGGCCTTGGAAGCTATACACTATTGAGAAGTGAAAAAGAAAAGGAACAACTAGCAGGAACCCTGAGAAGGGGCAACTAACTCCACAGGAAGTGAACTCTGACTTATGTCCCAGAGACAAGACACTGTTTGTAAAAAACACTTTTGCAGAAGGTTTTGAAATGAAATATGAATGTGTTGAGTAAAGAAAATTTTTGTTTCATGGAAGGTGATATTAAATGGTTCACATATTTTCAGGAAGAGGTTCACAATCTCATTGAACAAGTCAAAGATTTGGAAAGTTATTTGTACAGGAATAAACACAGTGTATTAAATAGGTAAGCTCTTATCTACCTTGGTTTGATTAGAGAAACTAATAAACTTCTCTAATTTTTTAAAAGTTTGGAAAGTTACTGGTTCACAAAATAAAAACTTTACAAAAAATTTAAAAAGCAAATAGGGGAGACACCAGTGGCTTAACCTGGGAAGCTGAGATTTGAGAATGCACAGTTTTGAGCCAGTCCTGGAAAACTAATCTGAAAATCACTGATCTCGAAGAAAACAGGAAAAAGGTGGAAGTGGAGGCATGGCTCAAGTGGCACAGTGCCAGCCCTCAACTGAAAAGCCAAGTAAGAGAAGAGCAGCAGCAAGAGGTCTTGAGTTGTACCCCAGCACAAGATGGGGAAGAGGGAGCAGTGGAGGGGAATGTTGTGCCTTGCTGCTCCCTGCTGGTCAGCATTATGAATATCAAACCCTAGGGAGAATTTTTTAATTTTAAAGTATGTTTATTTTATGATATATTTTATATCAAGCACTTGAATCAAAATTCAATCTCTGGATTTAATATAGATCCTTTATAATTACATCTAATCATTATTTGAAAATACACACTGAACTAAGTCTGCTGGTGAATAAAATAACTGTAAAGTAGAATTTTAACATCATTTCTTTTTTAATTATTATTAATAAGTTTTTTATTGTGAAAATATTGTACAGAGGGGTTAGAACTACATGAGCAAGGTAATGAGTACATTTCTTATCAAGCATTGTTGCCTCCTCCTTTGTTTCCCTTTACCATCCCTGCCCTTCCATCTCCCTGTCCCCCTTCACCTCCCCACCTCCCTGGAAAAGTTCTAAAGTTCTTTTTCTTTTTTTTTTTTAATTGTGAAAATACCATACAGAGGGGTGACAATTACATGGGCAAGATAATGGGTACCTTTCTTATTTAAACGATTTGTTTTTTTCATTCCCCTCCACAAATTATACCGACATCAAATACAATGAAACAGGGTTATGCTGTGGAGGAGGGACATACAAAGCAACAAAGAAATCATCTTATAAATATGTTAGAAACAATAGCATGAAAGAAAAAACATTTGAATATTTATATTGGGGTTCATTTCACCTAACATCAACTTATCTGAACATTTTTGCTTGTCTCAGACATATACTAGTTATTGCAAATAAGGGAAACCATGGGACCTATGTTCCTTTGAGTCTCCTTACTTCACTTAATATAATTGTTTCTAAGTCTTTCCATTTCCTAACAAATGGGGCAATGTCATTCTTTCTGATGGAGGCATAGAATTCCATTAAGTATATATACCACATTTGCTTGATCCATTCATCTACTGAGGGGCATCTGGGTTGCTTCCATATCTTAGCTATGGCAAATAATGCTGCAATAAATATGGTGGTACTGGAAGCTTTAGTATGGTCTTGTTTGAGATCATTAGCGTAAATGCCCTTTTTCAACATAAAGTCTTATACATCTCATTGTTGCAATGGGTCCACCTGTATCCCTATTTAAACAATTTGTTTTTTCCCTTCCCTCCACAAATTATACCAACATCAAATACAGTGAAAACAGGGGTTATACTGTGGAGGAGGGACATACAAAACAACAAAAAATCATCTTATAAATATGTTAGAAACAATAACAAGAAAGAAAAACCATTTGAGTCCTTTTCTTGGGGTTCAGTGAATTATTGTTCCTCATCTGTCCTCTTTCAAAATACCTTGCATATTTTGCCCTTCATAAGTTATTTAGCACAATAACTGATTTCAGCAACTCAGAGTATCAAATCTGTGAAGGACCTGTCCCATCATTTACATATAATAAAACAAGTCCACTCAGAAAATTTGCCTAGTTCATCAAACTTGGTTCCTAGTGCTCTTCCCTTCATTTGGATCCACCATCCCACCACCTGCTTCCACCTATAGTCACAGACTTCTCAG